ACCGCACTCTACTGAGGGCAATAAAGTGAAACTCCGTCATCTCAAAACAAAAACAAAAATAAAAAAACCCTCCAAAAAATTTATAAATAATTTGATATGATTATCTTTAAGTAGTAGGCCTTGGTAAATAACACCTATTATTTCTTTCCCAATCCTAATGGACTATTATCAAATAGGTCACTGATCGTAGACTTCCCATTTACAAGTATCTCATAATCATGTTTTCCTTTTGCTCTTCAATATGTCAAAATTGTACTGAAATACAGTTCAATTATACTATATTGAGTATAGCAGAGAGCAACCTGTTATATTTCAGATACAGCCATTCAGAGCAAAAACTCTTTTTCCTAAAGTAGAACAAGGATACAACTTCTGAAATGCACAAACTGTCTCTTTCAGGCAAAGTAAACCTCGCAACCGACCTTCTTTTCGGCAGACACTCATGCATCTGGACATCGCATCTGCAGATGTGCTTGCGACCCCGCAAGAGACGTACTTCAAGTCTCAGGTGAGCTGGGACTACTAGACAGACAGACAAAGTGCTCCCAGTGAAGAGGAGCATCTCTGAGAAGGGGGCCATTCTGATTGTGGTGACAATTATATAACTCCATTCCTTGTGAAACAGTAAATATGATACTTCACACTGTTTTTGATATTTCATACTTTTTAAGCACTTAACATATGTTATTAACTCATTTGAAAAGAACATGTATCAGAATGTCATCCTTACAGTGGGCTCTGACAAAATTGTTGAAGAAAGAGGAAAAGAAGGTATGAAAACCATAAGGTACATGCATTTGAATTAGAATGACTGCTGACCTATGTCAAAGTATTGCTTTCTCCGACGTAGAAAAACTGAAGTACAAAGGCAGGCATTTAAACACCAGAAAGAGCTCTTGATAGAATTGGGCCTAGAGAGAACCTTTTCTATTACATTAAGTGTTCTACCTAGTAGCTTCAGATAAAATATAAATTAATGAAAAAAATATGTATACATAAATTAATATATCTGTTAGCATCTACTGTACTACAAACCATCCCAAAACTTCCAGCTTAAGGCAAGAAGTATTTATTTAGCTCCTGGTTCTGTGAGTTGAGAATTTGGGTTAGGCAATTCTTCTGCCAGTTCTCAGTGGGCTCCCTCACATGTTTGTAGCCAGTTGCCAGGTCAGCTGGGAGGCTGGCTGGTCCTAGATCACCTTCATTCTCTTCCATTGTCCTGTCCTTCGGCAGGCAGGCATGAGCACCTTCATATTGTGTACCAGGATAGCAAATACAGCAAGAGAGCCAGCAAATCAGTGCACAAGGGATTTTCAAGCCGGTGTTTGCCCTGTGGCTGCTAATATCCCATTGGCCAAAGCAAGTCACAAGCCAGCCCAGATTCTAAGGATTGAGAAATAGGCTTCTGGGCCAGGTGCACTGGCTCAGTAATCCTAGCACTCTGGGAGGCAAAGGTGGGTGGATTGCTTGAGCTCCTAAGTCCAAGACCAGCCTAAGCAAGAGTGAGACCCCATCTCTAAAAAAATAGCCAGGAGTTGTGGCGAGAACCTATCGTCCCGGCTACTTGGGAGGATGAAGCAAGAGGATCACTTGAACCTAAGAGTTTGAGGTTGCTATGAGCTATGATGCCATGGCACTCTACCCAGGGGGACAAAGTGAGACCCTGTCTTAAAAAAAAGAGAGAGAAATAGGTTTCTCCTCTTGATGAGAGAATCTGCAACAGCACACTGTAGGGGCATGGACCTGGAGAAGGGAAGAATCTGTAGCTATTAAATTAAAATGCTATAAATGCTATAGGGAGTGGTGGGAGATGTGTGTATATGAAATCCTTGTCCCTTCCAACCCAGGCAGTATCAAAAGGGAAGGAACTAGGACTTTTGAAACAAATGTGATTATCCTAAATTACAGCTTTATGCCTACAGAATTTAACTCTCACATTACCTAATTTCTTATTTCTCATGTAGCTGTTTAACTTAATGTTACTATATTTCTTTTTTGTTTGTTTGTTTTGAGACAGAGTCTCAGTATGTCACTCTTGGTATAGTGCCGTGGCATCACAGCTCACAGCAACCTCAAACTCTTGGGCTTAAGTGATTCTCTTGCCTCAGCCTCCCAAGTAGCTGGGACTGCAGGCACCCACC